CCCCCCCCCCAGAATTATGTAAATATTTATTTTTGTCAAACAGAATGTTCAACTTTTTATATGATGGTTTCATTTACATTTTTTTTAATTCTTCTCTCAGAAACTGCCCTGAGCTCTCTTGGAAAGAAAAGCAGTATTGACAGCATCTATTATTACATCGAGATAAAAACCCAAAGGTGCTTTATTTCAAGAGGCAATTGGACTTTCTGGTTTTTCTTTGAATATGTTTTGCAAGAACTTCTTCAGCTCTTGAAAAAGCACCCATGGGACAACCATGACCTGGAGGACTAAGAATCTCCATAGGCATCAAAGGTAAAAAGTTTTAACTTGTTAATAACCTGTCTTCCATGAAGCATAGGTATTTTTCCTTTTGAATCCAGGTGCGAAAGGTAACAGAAAAAAAAAGCCAGTGGCTCTCTAGTCCTTCACTGACTTCTGAAAGACCTTGGCTTTTCAATGGCATTGTACAATATCATTGTGGATCAGAGGCAGAACCTTTGCGGCATCAGCCTTAGTAGCCTATTGACTTCTGGAACACAAGTCTCCAGGAAATGGCTCTAAAGACTGACCTTAACTCGGAGCCGTGGTGGCGCAGTAGTTAGAGTTCAGTACTGCAGGCTACTTCTGCTGCCTGCAATTTGGCAGTTTGAATCACACCAGGCTCAAGGTTGACTCAGCCTTCTATCCTTCCGAGGTCGGTATAAAATGAGGAGCCAAATTGTTGGGGGAAATATGCTGACTCTGTAAACTACTGAGAGAGGGCTGTAAAGCATTATAAAGTTGTATATAAGTCTAAGTGCTATTGCTTTTGCTATTAACTCATCATCTCAGCAGAGATAAGACTAGCCCCCACTTTGACCCTGTTTCACAAGGCTCTGAAGACCTTGGCTTTGCCAATGGGCCTGGGGAATCTGGAGTGGGATAGGTCTCATCAAGGGGCTTCTTTAACTGATTGCTGTTGCCAGGAAACTGCAGGGTTATTGCTTTTATTGTTGTATAACCAACAAATGTACATTTTCTAATTAAATAGTTTTTTAAAAAAAAATCAGCAAATGATGGAAGTCATTATCACAGCCCACAACACAGGATGACAAATATTTCAGGTTCTGTTATGCAATGGTCAAGATGCTTCCATATCCAAATGTTGTGGGAGTGTGTGAAATTTTCCAAATGCATGTTATTTTGGCCATTTCATTCTTCTGAACTGTAGTTTAGTTGAGGGAGGGGGTTTGGAAATGGTGCTTGGAGACGTAGCAATGTCCTGGCAATGTTGCTTTCCCCAACTCCAGTCCCAAGCAGGCAATCTTTGGAAAACCATTACCTCAGTGAGACCATCCAAGCTCTGCATCAGTTCAGAGAGACCAGGCTGCTGCGATCCAGGTCCCTGCTGTTTCAAGTGAGGCTTTCCGAGTTCCTGAATTTGCATTCGCTGTGCATGTTGATTTTTTCGCTCATCAAGCAGCTCCCTTGTGTACTTGCTGACGTTTGTGTAGTATTCCTTTCTTTTGTCGCACAAGCAGCTAAACAAGTACTGCTGGAGATGAAGAAGTTAATTAAGAGCTGTGGTGGTATAGTGGTTAAACTGCAGTATTACAGGCTGACTCTGCCCATAGGCAGGAATTCGATCCTGGAACTTCTGACCGGATCAAGGTTGACTCAGCCTTCCATCCTTCCGAGGTGGGTAAAATGAGGACCCAGATTGTTGGAGGCAATATGCTGATTCTGTAAACTGCTTAGAGAGGGGCTGAAAAGAACTATGAAGTAGTATACAAGTTTAAGTGCTATTGCTATTACTAACCGAACACAAGAGCTCAAAAACTAGTTGAGTTTAGTAATTTATCTTGGGATAAGCTGCACACCATTTTAGCTTTACTCCGTAACTAAACTTAAACTTTACAATACGTTTGTTCAGCTTTCAAAGGTGCCACAAAACCTGTCTTCTTTAATGTGGGCTACCGCCCCTATTAAAAACTGCAACAGCCTGTTTTTTTCCCCACTTATTGAATCATACGTTGCCCATCGTTGAAGAGAGTTTGTGGTGTTTTGTTCCTGAGGTGCAGAACTGGCTGTTCCTAAGATACCACTTAGACTACAAACAACAGAATTGTGGACTGGATCAACTTTCCCAACCTGGGTGCCCTCCGGATATATAGACATTGTCTCAAATTCCCAACAAAGGGTTGCTGGCTAGGGAATTCTGGGAAGGTTGAGCTAGATAGACCTCTGCTCTGATACAAGAGAGATCTGCCTTAAAACCTGAACATATTTACATTTACTGACTGTTAAAAGTTGTTAATATATTTATGGCCACTGCAGCATCCCCATGGTCTTGTGATCAAAATTAAGATCCTTGGTAACTAGCTCATATTTATGATGGTTATAGAGTCCCGGGGTCATGTAATCACCTTTTACGGCCTTCTGACAAGCAAAGTCAATGGAGAAGCCATTATCACTTAACAACTGTGATACTAACTTAACAACCGTGGTGATTCACTGACTATGGCAGGAAAGGTCGTAATATGGGACAAAACTCATTTAACAACTGTCTTGCTTAGCAACAGAAATGTTGAGCATAATTGTGGTTGCAAGTTGAGGATTACCTGTAATGTAAAGTGTACGAAAGAACTAATAGAAACTAACAGATTCACATGTGACTTTATTCTAGGAATTTATTTAACTTAATTTACTGATTAAGCCATAACTGAGTTTGCAAGGTCCACTAAGCCATGAATCATAGTTTAAACCCAAAGGATAGATTTAGATACAGGTAGTCCTTGACTAATCACCGGTCGCTTAGTGACCAAAGTTACCACAGACAAAATGGTACTTACAACCTTGTTGTGAAGTTCTGACAGCCGTGGCCACCACGCAGTCATTTCCTGTGTTGTGTGGTCAAATGACTGGGTTTATCACATTTTATGCTGAAAACTAGCATTAACTTCTGGGTTTTGCCCAAACCTGGAAGTTAATGCTAGTTTTCCCAATTTGTGGTCATTAATGAACAATGGGTTCACTTAATGACTACAGGTTCACTTAATGGCAAACTGCCTAAAATGTTGTAAAATTGGGTCACTTGTGTGATCACCTGTTCTATGGCGGTCACAACTTATGACCTGAATGGGCAGACTCCATTACAATCGTAAGTCATGGCCCACCTGTACATACAAAACTAAAACTAAACAAAGCACTTAATAGTTTAGCACAGAGGTCTCCAAACTTGGCAACTTTAAGACTTGTGGACTTCAACTCCCAGAATTCTACCAAGAAGTTACCAAGTTTGGGGCCCCTGGTTTAGCATGTGATACGAAACATTGTTTAAAGCTAGTACCTGAAGTTTGTTCAACGAGTTGTAGAGGCTGTTACTTATACGCTCATCTTCTGTTTGAAGCCTTTTGATGTTATTGGCTTCCTGGGGAGAAATGTCAGGAAGCCACTGGGCTATTACAGCTTTCTTGCTATCAAACTGATTCTTGATCTGAAGAGAGATTTTTATGAAATATTCAGATCTTTTTTCCAGCTCTGGAAATTTCTCCAGAGCCTCCTGAAATAAAAAGGAAACAGGCTGAAATTAACAAAGGTTTTCATCTTTGAAAATCAGTGGTTTTTCTCACAACCACTAAAGGCATAGATTGTGATCTTTTTGACTATGAAATTTTATTTTATTCCATAGCAGGAATAAAATAAAATTTCATAGTCAAAAAGATCACAATCTTGTGCTATTAAGAAACATGTCTTGATCAACCAGAGTGCATTTTTTGAATTGCATTCATGTGAACAAGCTACTGTACCCATTGTTGAACATTAGATCTCCCCTTGCTCTAATCCTCCCCCTTAGCAGAATATACATTATATATTCATAGACAGCTGAGGAAAAGTAGCTGTGCAAGATATCTGCAGAGTGTGATTTTAAAAAATGACAATCTCAAAATGGCAGCCACAATTGCGTGATCAACACTGTCCATCTTTTAAGTACAATATTCCAAAAAAGAAATGGAGTTTCAATCACACTGTTACCAGTGCCATTGTGAGGTGGTTGGTGTTTTTTTTTTTTTTTACCATAATCTGAAGACACCCCTGATACCAGCAGCACAAGAGAAGAGTTCTTGGAGTAGCAATTATTCTGAGGAAACCACTAGATTTACAATTCATCGTTCTATATCAAGACCTCCTGGATTGCAAAAGGATGTTCCTCTGTTTTCTGGTATAATATACAAGTTATAGATAGATTGGGTATAATTGGAAATGGAGTTCAGTCTTTGTTGTGAGAATAGGCAGAAGAAGGATAAAAGGTAGAAGTTAGAACTCCACTTAATGCAGAATCCTTCTGGCAGGATTTTGGTACTATGATGGTTTGTGTCCAAAGGATCGTCCCTGCAAAATTGAACCAGAGCTACCAGTGCTCCTCTGTCTGCTTAAAGTTGAAAGGAGACGCATTCAGAAAGTTAAATCTAAGTGATCCACCATAACATTTATGAAAAAAAAATGAACAGGAACTGGCCAAGCCATAGTCCTTCCATGTTAGAACTCTGCTTTATAAATGACTTTGGCAGCAGAATTTTCTGTACAGACCGAACTGAAAATTTATCAGTTGAATCAAGACAAAATTTTAATTTATTAAAGAAATTTATATGGCTTCCCAACTAATGATAACTCTGGGTGGCTCATAGAAATAAAACAAATATGAAACTCAATACACCTCCGCTCCCCAAGTTTTAATTTATTTTATAGATTTTGTAAGAAAAAATCAAGCCTCAATGAATGTCAAAGAATCATGGTGGATTAAACCAAAGTCCTAACCAGTTCATCTTTTCTTCCCTTAAGACCGATTCCTCAGAGGACATCAGCAAGATATCATGCTCACCTTCTGGTAATTTGGAAAAATGTTCCATTCCTCTATTAATTCGGGTAATCCCATTTTCAAATTTATCATCATTGCAACTGATAATCAATTTTACTTTCTGAATATGTTCTGTGTAATTTTGGGAAAAGAGTTCCTTTTCATCTATACTATCTTGAATTTTTAAAATTAGATGCTTTTAGAAATAATTTAAAATATAAAAGGGACATATTGTCAAAAAAAAAACCCTGGGCTTACTTAAAAAGTCATTCTGAATTTTTAGGCCATATTTATGAATACTATTCTACTCGTCATTTACTTACCTTTTCTTTTAGTTTTTTTGTTTCTTCTTTAAATTCCTCTTCAAGTTTCTGAAACATCTGTTGTTCCTCAAGAACTAAATTCTTCTGTGTATTAACCTCATCTTCTTGTAATTTTACATAAGCTAACAATTTCTCCATCTCCAATTGAGTATCCTCAGCCTAAAATATAAAAAAGAAAAAGAAAACAAAACTCATTACATCATGAAATAAAACCCAGTCGGCACATCAATTTCTATAATGCAATTCAAGAAAACATCAAGAGTTTCAATAACGGTGAACTTTAGAATAACTGTGAACTTTCAAATAAAAATTATTGATGAGGGCACTGGAGAACTTTAAACAGCAGATGTTGAAAGCATCATGCTCAATCCTGTCAAAACCAAGTAGCTGTGTACTTTTGAGCACCCAGCCACTTGGTTTTACCAACTTTAGCCTTGGATGAGGTTACACTCCTCTTGTCACGACTGGTGTTTAATATGTGGGTTATCTGGTACTTGTTGCTCCTACTTGAAGAGCAGGTAGCAACTATGATAGAGTACCTTTGCATAACTTCATCTGGTGTTACCCATTGCATTCATTCCTGGATCAGGAAACCCGTCAAAGATGGTTTCTCAAGTCCTAGTAACCTACAGGTGGAATTACTGCAATGCAGTCTAGGTCGGGCTGCCTTTGAAGACCAATTAGAAGCTCCAGGTGCAATTCAAGGTGTTGTTTATAACCTATAAAGCTGTATCTGGATATCTCTCATGGCTTCTGCCTATCCTTTCTGAGATCCAATGTAACTCCTTCCCTGATGATATTCCAAGAATCTTTAAAGGCCTTACAGCAAAGGATTTCAGAAGGCTTGTTGTTGGTGGAATATTTTTTATTTTGCGGGAGGCATATATGGGATATAGTTTTCCAAATGCTTCAGATGTTTTCTTTTTAAAAAACTATAAACTGAACAAAATTATTCTGGAACCAGGTGGTCTTTAAATCTAATAAATAACAATAATGCTTTTAAAGTGTCACACACTTTCCTTCCTTTTGTTTCAATTCCTCATCAATTTTTGAAATCTGAGAATCTGGGGCTAAGGTTTTCCCTTTCAGCTACCATTTTCTTGTATTCGCTGAGAGAATTATTAGCCTCCCTCAGTTGTTCCTGAAGTCCCAGATTCTTTTTAAAAAAATCAAGCCACATGAAATCAAGCCACATTTAAATTAAATCTTAACCCAATAAAAAAGTACCTCCCAAAGGTGGAAATTACATCTTTTTACCCATAACCTCTGGTTGAATATCTTGCAACCTACAAAAATGACTCACCCTTTCTTCCACGAGCCTTTGGCGAAGCTGAAATGACTCGGTAAAGTCTTTAGAAGTCTAAAAAAAAAAAAATTCAGTAGGCAACAACATTCTTCTACTTCGCAAAATATCAAATGTAATGGAGTAACAAGGGATTGTTGCCTCAGACCATTCTGCTTCATCACCAAATTATGTTCCCAGCTTCAAGAAAAGTTCTCTTTTTTTACACATAATAATGTGCAAATAGCATTTATTTTATTGGATTTATATTAATATAGATCTAGTTAGGAATAAAGATAATAAGCAAAGAGAACCTGTTGCCTTTCTTCCTTTACAGGCAGATTAAGACACTGCTGGCATGAAACAGAGGCATCGGGGAAGAGTTTTCAACAAACTGTATTTTCCCTTAATGTGCAATTCTACACACCACTGAAGCATGTTTGCCCACTGCTTGGGAAAAATTGGTTCATCAATATATCTAACCCTCTTGGCAAATTCTGCTTGGTTTTTTTTCCCCATCAGCCCGTAATACTTACAAAGTTTCTTTCAGATCCTGGGATCCATTCTTCCTCAGGCATTATAATACTGGCTGTCATGCATTGATCATCATATTCTGAGAATTCCGAGGAGACAGCTAAGAATTAAAAACACCCCCAACCCAAAGTATATAAAATTAAATGGAAATGGAAATTCTATGGAGTCAAATGAAAATGAAATTAAAAAAAAACAAAAAACAGGGGGCGTGCATAAGCGCACCAACGTGCCTACAGTCCCTGTCCTATTGTTTCTTTTATATATTTTTTTATTTTTCTTATATGTATCCATGTATTCATAACTATGTTTTTACTTATACCTATTAAAAAATCTAGAACTTAAGACATGCTATTTGTTTTGAGATTTATCATATTTCTTATATCATCACAAGAATAAAAGCCATTACTACTAAAATCTAAACAAAACCTGGCTTCTTTATCAACCCTTGCGATGCCTAACAACTTACTCCAGACATACTCACTACATTCCAGTGTCTGAATAAAAAACTAAATCTTAATGGACTTCTGAAAGGCTAAGAAAATGACTGTGTGTGTGTGTGTGTTTCTTTATGTTTACATAAACTTTCCCCATCCTCCCACGCATAACAATT